AAAAAAAAAAAAAAAAACATTTGAATCACACTTAGAAGCTTAATCCAGTTCATCAGTTTCGTTGAAAGCGTCGTATGAGTGTGCCTATACAAGCTATGGGAATTGTGAGAAGGAAATACTCATAACAAGCGCCTTTAACGAAGCCATGTAAACAAAATCCAAAGACAAAATAAAGCATCTTTTATACAGAAAAGCAAGTACAGAAGCAGTTAAAAATTAACTCAGAAGCCAAACGGGCCTTACTTTGGTGGATGAAATGATTCTCCAACCTGTCTCCACAATTTGGCTCCAGTTACCTAATCAAGGATCACAAATTCATAAATACTGAAATGGCAACTGAGAGTCCTCTACTACTACTACAACAAGAAGCCATTAAAATCCCACTAAGTGGGGTCGGCTATATGGATCACATGTCGCCATCATGCTCGATCAAAACACATATCCTCATTCAAATTCAAATATTTCAAATCATTTTTTATTGTATCCTTCCAAGTTTTCTTAGGTCTACCCTTCCCCTTTTTAATTTACATTCTTAATTCTAATGTTTCTACCCTTCTCGCCGGAGCCTCGAAGTCTCTCCTACGGACATGCTCAAACTATCTTAATCGTGATTCCCTATTTTCTCCTCTTGTATGGGCGTTATCCCAACCTTAATTCTAACACTTGCATTTCTAATCGTATCTATATGCCCACACATCCATCTCAACATTCTCATCTCTGCCACTGCCACTCGCATTTTTTTGATCATTTTCATATTTAGTACCACAACACTCCAATCCATAAAGCATCGTCGCTCAAATGGCCGTTTGATAGAACTTGCCTTTCAAACTCCCCTTGATACTTTACGATCAAAAAGTATCGACGACGCACTCCTCCACTTGTTCCATCTCGATTGAATTCTATGTGTTACAACTTTATCTATGTTGTTCTTATCTTCTAGAATGGAACCTAAATATTAAAATTTTTAGACGTGTTCAATTCGTGTTCCTCAATTTTAACTTTTACCCCATCATTACTCCTTTGATTACTAAAATTACACTCAATATATTCCATTTTAGTCCAACTTACTTTGAAACCCTTGCCTCTCTCCATGTTTCTAACTTAGCATTTACCCCCTCTCTTCTCATCTACTAACAATATGTCATAACAACATGCAATCGGTGACATCCAATTGCAAATGTTTAGTAAATTCATCAATTACTAATGCAAAGAGATACGGACTAACGCCGAAGCTTTATGTAAACCAATAGTGATATGGAATTCACCCGATATCCCTACCGGTGTCCTAACACAATTTATGGTTTATATATAACCAACTCGCACCTCCCCTCTTTTCTAACACTCTACATTATACCTTTATTAACACTATCATAAGCTTTTTCAAGATCAATAAAGACCATATGCAAATTTTATTTTTTCTCATTTAAAGGTTCACAAAATCTCTTACATGAATAGCTTTGATCGTTGATTTACCTTACATAAAGCCAAATTGGTTCAAATAAAATATCAAAGTGATTCAAATAGCTGCATTTACTTCTATAGACAGAAGAAGTGCCCATCACCTCACCCACCACACAAACCTACCACACCCTTTACATATATTCACTTTCCCTTACCAATATAATGCCCATCTCCCTCCAGAAAAATGTAATCCCCAACCCATGCGTTTAGAGATATGTATCTTTAAGCATTAATGCAGGTGAATATCCTACGTGTATATTACATGTATACTTCAAAATTTTGAAGTTGTCAAATATGGATAATGCAAGCACTAACATCTATTTTGTTTTATAGACCTATTTTGTCTCACAGATCCCCGACCCGTGTCAATAGGGTAACTACTTTTTTCTAAGATTTCAATATTTGGACTAGTCTTCCATTAGTCAGAAAGCAGCACACTTTTTAAAAATAAAAGTTATCGGGGACTTTTAAACAGCCAGACAAAAATTCAGTGACAATTGATATGATATACCCAAAATTATACATCTAAACATATTGCAGCTTGGTCTAGATCGCATGTCAATGGGAATATAATGTTCCACGCTCTGAATCGTGCTAAGAATAGTCTTAGATGTTGGAATATAGCATGATTAACTAATATTTTTATCATGGATAAAAATACCGAAACATGAATAAGATAATCCAGATCCATAAAATCAAATGCCAAATGAAATTCATCCAAGAGAATATCTTCGTTTTACATTCAAGATTCAACCAAACGTTGCAGACAAGGTTGCAGACACAAATAATAAGGACACACCTTTGGAGATCATGCAGCTTGGAGATCATGTAATTTATAAGCATAATTCAGTATTTTCCTCAATTTGAGTCCTCGAAACCAAAGGTTTTCAAGTCTAAAGCCTCATAAGAATCTAAAAATTTCTAAGATACAGAAGCCCAGTTATATGCATGCACACAATATTAACCCATAAATCAAGAGTACAATTACACAAAAGTTAAAGGCCATAAGAAACGTCAGGACACGCATACCGTGTCGTAGCCTCCCAACTTAATCACGGCCCTCCATAACCTAGCAAACAACAAAGTTAAGATTGAACCCATGCGGCAAACCAATAACAAATTCGTTACAAGACTATCCACAAGAGATGCTTACTTTAGGCAATTTAGCGGCTGCCCGTAAAATTTGGGAGGTTTGAAGTCTATTGCCTTCTCCTTGTGAAAACTCTCAAGTTCCTTCATGAATGCAATTTGATCCTCTAGTGTTCCATCATCGCCTTCTCCCATCTAACAAAAACTATTATATGTTACCAATGCAAATTTATGTAATTATAAATTCATGTATATTCAAATTTGTAGCATATGTTCTCTAGTCAGTAAAAAAAGAGTTACCCAAGGCAGTGTTGCTTGAGTAGAAAAGGACTTGAAGGTTTCTCCACTCCTGTCTTCAACCTTTGCAGGAGAATTTACGCCAAGAGAATCTATTTTAGCAGTTTCGTGCTCGTTCAGACGCAAAGCATCATCCCCTTCATATCTGGCAGCAACTACATCAGTCCGGTCATCCCCATCAGTTTCAGTAGGAAGACCTGTTTCCACACCTTGCCCCATCAGACTATCTTGAACTGGTTCATCTTTATCCAAATTAGCCGCATCATTCATTTCTACATCCTCAACGTGCTGAACATTGTCAAGCTCCATTTCCTGCCTTTGAGGGGATTCATTTGAAGAAATTTTCGCACGGTCCACATGAGCAGACTCCATTGACTTTTCTCCTACTGAAACACATTTAGCACCATCCGAGTTCAGCTCGCAGATTTTTTCAGGATTTTTCTCTTTAACATCTTCATTAGGTTTTTCTACCACATCCTTCACATGATTTCGATTGTCCATCTCCTTCTCCATTGGCTTCTCTTGCAACCCACAATTAGCGAACTTTTTTTCAACCACTCCAGTCTCAAAATCTATTTGTTTCTCCACTGAACCACAACCATTCGGCTCATCTTTTGCGTCAGCGTTTATTTTATCAACATTCCCACTTTTGGTACTGATTTCTTCATGAACGGACCCTTCCTCATTGGTCACAGTATTGTGATTGCTTTCTTCTTCCACCTCGTTATTACAGTTTCTGTCCTTTTCTTCATTTAAACATGTATTTACATCTTCTCTGTCGTTCTCCATTTCGAGTACATTGCTCGATACAGTAAAATTTTCTTCTTTGCTTTCAACATTAGCGTTCACGACTTCACTTTGTGACTCAGGAACATTGTTTCCTGAATCACTGGGTAGCTTTTCGGCATCCTCCATCTCTAGATCACTTTTTCTCCTAATGGTATCTACTCGAAGTCATCACAATAGGTCCATCAAGACATATTCTAACAGACACATAGATAGTTCTCACGCAGAACAGGACAAGCAAAACGCCCAAACCTCAAACAAAGATAACAATGTAAAAATTCAAAATCAAGGGACACCCAACAGCAATTCAGAAATCCTAATTCAGTTGCCAAAACCAGAAGGTGATTTCTCCATGCATTGGGGGTGGGGCTGAAAACCCATATCTCACTAAACTAGAAACACGACGAGGACACCGAAAAAAAAAATCCCAAAAAAAAAAAAAAAAAAAAA